TTTAATACAAAAATTCAATTGACAATAACTGCTGTATTTCCAATACTTGTGTAATAAATGTCATTAAGGGGAACCTTTGCTCACTGTGATACTTAGCTGCCATTAAATTTAATTGGGAGTTATGGATGCGTATCAAAGGGAGAATAGAAACCTAATTGCCCCAACTCACTGCACCTGCATATTACAATTATGCTCATTCTATCGCAGATGCATGTTAAATACAGTCATGTGCTCTCTAACTGTAATTAAACCTTGATGACTATAATCAATGTGTATCCTACGGCTGGCAATTAGATGCCAGTCAGCAAATCCTTAGTCTGAGCAGCCAAGCCCAAGTGCACACATAACACAGTGGGTTTAGTTCTCAGTGTACTGTATTTAAGAGACTTGTTACACTTTAACCTCACCCACTGAAAACAAATTGGGTACCTAAACTGAAGGCAAAAAACCCCCAAACCCAAAGCAAACAAACAAAAACCCCCCACACACATGAAGCTGTTGAGATTGTACTTACCTCACTGTTTCTTTTCAACACGTACATTAAATTAGCATTCCCCCCCTGTAAAAAGATCACACGGATTTAATAAAAAAACAAATGAGAAATCACAATAAATGTTTTTCTTGGTAGGCCTAATCATAAACATGCACTCCCATTTCTTTCTTGGAAGGGCAGAACTCTCATAGCTTAGAGTGAGTGAAAAATCATACAATAAAATATTAATTAGTGATCATTCTGTAGTGATTAAATAAATTCATCCACAGTGAGAACGGGTATGAGGTTATGTTTGGCCTTGGTATTTCAATAATGATGCATAATTAGACACATTTTACTGGATTTGCAGACAGATGGCAGATAACCATTGCCACAGAAAAGTTTATTACCCAGCAAAATTGTTTTGAAGAAGGAATCTGCGTTACAGCAAAATGGGTTTGGAGCCTGTGCCCTCATTTTTTCAAGTGGGGTGAATTTTGGCTCGTTATAATATGTCCAGAAGAATATGTCTTTTCATATTTAAAAAAAAGTTACAATTAAAGTGTTAAAAGAGTCACAAGCTAAGAGATGACATTTGACACCACATACAACAATGGTACCTTTTTCAAAATGCTGTCTGATTCCGTTCTCCGAAGATCCTGAGCATCATCGCCTTCATCCTTCTCTCCACCTAAAAGAAACACACCAGTTGGCACAGGACACTTAGCTTTCCAAATTCCTCAGTCATTAGAAACAGTACAATGGGAAGAAAAGACTTTAAAAGTAGATGCACAAAGCTGAGCCATGCTAGTCACATATAAGAGGGGTAGCCGTATTAGTCTGAATCTGCAAAAGCAGCGAGGAGTCCTGTGGCATCTTATAGACTAACCAAAGTGTTGGAGCATACGCTTTCATGGGCAAAGACAAAGTGGGTCTTTGCCCACGAAAGCTTATGCTGCAACACGTCGGTTAGTCTATGAGGTGCCACAGGACTCCTGGCCGCTAGTCACATATGTATGTTTGCTTCCTATTATACCAATAAATATCAGCCATTGCTAAGAGGCAATGGAGAAGAATACAGGTTAGGGACCGGCTTTAGTTTCAAATAGTGTGTTGAACATTTAGCCAGTTGACTTCTGACCCACCTGTTAAAAATCTCTCCGTTCCCATAAACTGTTTCCATGTCAGTAGCATACTTGATCTGGTCTCCAAGACAAGTTGTTTTAGAACACATAATGTGAACGACAACTTTATCAGGTCAGATCTTATTACATCGAGCTACGTTTCAATGCTACCCGTCAACTGGACTCGGAAGACTTAGACCTTCGCAGCGCAGTGTATGTGTGCAAAGAGGTAAGCTGTTTTTTGTGAGCAGTTCATCCACAGCCTCAGGCATTAGAGCCCTGGAATTTTGATCAGGAAACTCGATTTATCTACTAGTATTTTTAATCTCTAGCTGGACAGCTCACACAATGCTTCCAATTGAGTCATACCACATAAAAGAGCCACCTGTGGCTGTGCTTCCCTCGAGCACTTTTCTTTCATTGCTTTCAAGGTGCTTTACCAACACGGTGTAAGCATTCTACCCTGCTTTAAACAGCCTACAGCATTCCATATGCAGTGCAATTGTATCCCCATCCTGGGGTCTGGCTTCCCTGGTAACTCAAACAATACCCAACTCTAAAACACAGCCTACGTCATCTATCCAAGCAGCCTTGCATTCCTTTGCAGGGTCCTAGAACCTGCCACTCTCTTCCATGTAGATAAGTAAAGGATCCTTAACTACTATTTTAGAGATAGGAAAATGAAGTTATGAGACTTACCCAAGGTCATGCAAGGTGTAAGTGGCGGAGTTGAGAACAGAACCTTGGTTTCCAAACATACATGTGATTAGCATGGCACAGCTGTGTGCGTTCACTTCTACAGTCTTCCCTGCCACATGTTATTGTTTCATTAAGGAAAAACTTCCTAACTGTCAGGGTGGTTAAACACTGGAATAAACTGCATAGGGAGGCTGTGGAAACTCCATCATTGGAGATGTTTAAGAGCAGGTTAGACAAACACCAGGCAGGAATGGTCTAGCTGGTGTTTGCTCTTGCCATGAGGGCATGAGACTGGGCTCAATGACCTCTTGAGGTTCCTTCCGCTTCTACAATTCCTGACACCCATTCCTGCACCTTCACAAAGTAGGCCCAACAGCCTCCTCCCAAAACCTCTTCAAGAGCTCTCATTATCTATCTAATTCATGTGAACATCTCTATACAAAAGCCCAGCTGACTAAATGCTGGACTACACATGAATAATCTCACCAGTCCAGCCTGATGCTGTTCAAATTACTGTGGCACTGAAAAGAAAGAAAGTACAACCTAAATAAAACCCCTAGGTTCCCTGAGCCTTTTCCATTGCTAGGACAAGACAGGCTGGGAACTTTGTGACCTTCCAATGACTAAGAAAATCTTACGTTCTTCACACAGCAGGTTGCTTGGAGTGCAGAAGCAGCAAGGCAGGAAAGGAGGCCTGGGAGCCTGGTGCTGAGACATAGACGGCACAGCTTACCCCAGGAGCGGTGAGAGGATAGGAGAGAGTGCATAGGGATGAGTTCTGGGCGGGGACTGGAAATCTCTGGAGCCTGACATGGAGTTGGGAAGCTGCGAACTGTGCTGCCAACCTAAAGGCTCATTAATTTGGCTTTGGGAGGCTAAATTCACTGTGGGGTTGACATGATCGATTGTATTTGGTGCATGCGTGCGTGGAGAGCATAGGAAGGGAAGGTGGTGTCAGACCCCAGCGAGGACCTCAGTTTGATCTCAGGCTGGGAGATGGTAGTGAAGAGGAGATGAGGAAAGAGGGCTGCATATACTGAAGTGGAAGTGAAAGAAACAAATAAGTGAGGCAAAAGGGTACAAGTCCTTTGTGTGTAAAGAAGGAAGGATGGTTTGATGGGAAAGCACATGACTACAATTCAAAAGAGCTTGCTTCAGGATCCACAGACATTCACTAAACCGAGACAAGTTATTCCACCATTATATTCTGCACCTTCCACAGCTATCAAATGAGTTCAGTGATACTTACTAATGTCACAGGGGACGTGGAAGCTAACCAGGCACAAGGTGTTATTACTACATACACACCTGCAATGCACAATGCACCAAAATACTTACACTTGGATGCATTCATCTGATGACTGTCAAATCCTCCAAAAGTTTCTGCTCTTCTAGGAAGGGAGATGGGGCCAACTCCCCCTTCTTGCTCAGAGTTTGGCAGCAGGTCAGCAGCCACAAGTGCACTCCCTAGATTCCTACTGATCAAGCTTTGCAAATATTCAACTGCGAGGATAGAAAGTCACAGGAAAAAAGATCAATTACAGAACATCCTCAGTATTTACTGATTAGCATGTTTTTGTTTTTTCTAGGTTAGAGATGTTAGGTCACTAACTTTATACACTTTTTGGTACAAAGATTTCATGGGTATATAGGAGGAGGATGATGCAACGAGAGAGGTGCAAAAATATAATGGTAAGTCAGGCCATTAACACACTGAGTTTTACTTGTGCTCTCCATTGTCTCATCCCCTTTCCACCCTTAGTAAATTTCCTTGGTGTAATCTTGCACAAAGGCAGGTGTTCTAAATTCAGCCTGTTGTGCAATGTACCAAGGGAAAATGGGCCACATTAATTTGTGGTTTTTCCAAAAGACTACAGACCCATCAACGCTTGCTGTGTGCGCAAACCTGGCTGCCTGGCTGTCATTTCCGTTATGTAGCAGGAGTGAAGTCTAACCAAAGAGAGCATGACCCGTGTTCCCAACAAAGGACCAGAACTAGGCATGCGATTGAGCTGCACAGAATACAGACCAGTGAATGATGGGTAAAGGGATGAAAGTTCATTTGTGCACTCCCTTGACACAGCCCAAAATCTATGCATGGCTGGCTCTCCTCTGTGCTGGGTTAGCAGCTTGAAGACTCCCAGTTACCTCTACTGCCTTCTTCTCAGCAATAATTATCATCCCCTTAATATGCTTTACTCTTTGAGGATGGAACTGCATCTTTATTTATGATCCATATTACTACTACTGTTTGTTCATCATCAAAGACAGAAGAACCATTCTCTTGGACACTGTAATAAATGGGACAGATTGGTTTGTTTACCCTCATTTATTGCATGCTTCATAACGGTCATCCCTTTCTGCACCCCCTCTGTATTGGACCTGAACAGTACTCTGGAGACTGAGCTATCCTCTTGCATGCTACAGTCAGTCATATCCCGGAAAATCTTCTCCTTTTCCTCCAGCAGCGCTAGGATTTGCTGATCTTTCTGCTGAAGCTGTTCTATGGGTGAACAGAAGAACACACATTTAAAAGAGAAAACAATGCTACCCTAAGGAAACTGAATAATTCATTTGTGGACCTGAACAGTACTCTGGAGACTGAGCTATCCTCTTGCATGCTACAGTCAGTCATATCCCGGAAAATCTTCTCCTTTTCCTCCAGCAGCGCTAGGATTTGCTGATCTTTCTGCTGAAGCTGTTCTATGGGTGAACAGAAGAACACACATTTAAAAGAGAAAACAATGCTACCCTAAGGAAACTGAATAATTCATTTG